AAAAAAAATACGAAAAAATTTTCAAAAATTTTTTGTGTAATTTTGGTGAGTTTTTAACTTTAAATCTTGTTTTTCAAACTGAGTGCATATTTTGATTTTTTCGAAATTTTTGTATAACAAACTACTATCATTTTAACAACTTTTAAGCCCGGTCCGATCGTGGGCCTCCTATAATTACTATTTTTTTTCGATTTTTGAAAATTTGATAAATTTTGTTTTCTCTATTAATCATCATGAATACCAATTTTATTACTGTATATTATTTTTTTAGTTCATTTCAATCAATTTTGACACATTTTTATTATTAAAAGGCGTTAAAAATAATTAATTTATCATTAAGATTATTTATAAACAATAGTAACAAAAGTATTTATTTACTTGCGTAATTTCTTAAAAATTTTACATGTACGACTATCATTTGAACTAGAGTACTCCTTAGCTAGTATGTTTCCGCTGCCTATTGGAATAATGGAATGAAATTTCTGTGTCCCTGTAATTGACTTAGCAGTATTGTATCGAGAATCCAATTTTTCTTTTGCATTTAAGTAATCTTTTTCTGGTGAAAATTTGACAGCAATATTCGGCAGACTGCTTGGTTTAGATGCCCATTCAAATAGTTCGTGAGCTGTTGTTATTTGCTCATGAATTGGCCGTTGAAGACTTACTCTCGCCGCAATTCTTTTCACTGTTCCTCCAATTCCATCACACGGTCCTTTACCGTGTGCTGTAGCAAAATAATGCCATTCAGCATCTAAGTTGAAATCCTTTTTGTGGTAATAAATATTTACGAAGTTCTTGAAGTTTTTAAATTGTTGCGGAGCATCATCAGAGAAGTAAACTATTTTAGTTGCATTGGAAAACGATTCTTTTAGAAAATCGTTAATAATTTTAAGATACACATGCACAGCAATTGCGTCATGATTATTGCCATCAGAAATTATGACTAAACTTCGATGCTTCAGTTCGCTGTTCTGTTTGTAATAGATTACAACTGGAAAAATCGTTGCTTGATTATTATTCCAATGAAATCCCGGCGCTGCGTCCTGTATTACAAAGGCGTAATTTTCAGCAAAATCACAAATCGCTAAAAACTCATTATCCTGTAACGATTCTTTTTTGAGTTTCAGGAAAGCAGATTGTTGTTTAGCAATAAAATCATGTGGTAAAAGATTTACTATATGATCACAAAATATGTTGACGAATTCCAAGGAGCTCTTGATAAATGTTTCAAGACGACAACGAGGATTAGATATCCAATATTTATATGTGATATCATCTACTGCATTTTCATCGAATAAGGTTTCTAACATACTTCGGAGAACATCGATTCCTGGGCACTTTACACATTTCAAGAAGTAACAATCAGATGATGGATTGGGACATAGTACTAGCTTAAAACAATCACTATATTGCATCAAAGGAATTGTCGAATGATGAGTTAGCGTTGTTAAATTAGAACCTGCCAGAAAATAAAATTATTAACTCTTACAGTTAAAAAATAAAACTTTTGTAATGCTCACCTAACATCATGAGTTTTATATTTTGATGGATAGCACACACACAAATAGTGTGAGTACCACTCGATCCTGCAAGTACACAATGGACAGGTCTTAATGATGCAAAGCTAGAAAACCCTATCCAATCATCAGGATACTGTTCCTTAAATATTTTATACAATTCTTTTAAATTGCACAAAATAAGTTTTTTTTGGATATGTTCTTTTTGACCATCCTTTTTTCGCATAGAAACAAAATCTTTTTTACCAGGCAGATTTACACTTACATCATCATTTTTATAAAATTCTATGACCTTGCATTTAGTTTCGTTCGATAGGGGTCGTCCTAAATAGAAGAGAACTTATTAGATGATTGAAGTAAAAGAAAAATATTTACCAAATGTAATTTAAGAATAAAAAGTTTGAAAACTTTACCTATTTTTCTCTGTGGCATCGACAAAGTTCCTTTTTTTTCTTTTAAAAGTTTTGACACTATTGCCATGTGTTTTGTAGCACCCATAACATCGCAAATCTTATTGATGCTCCAATCAGAAGGCAATAGAGTTAAAATTTGTAATTTTTCACTTCTAGTAGTACTCTCAGCCTTAAATTTAGCTTTGAGATTCTCTACAATATTTTGGTAATCAACTGAGTTCTGATAATGGTTAGATTTATCATTTATTCCTAATAATGTCACAAATGTAGAGCAAATTTCGTTATATTTTTCACTCAAATATAATGAATTATTTATTGCATATTTATCAATTGGATTTATATTTAATAATGGCAGAGCTTCGTTAATTACAGGTAATTGAGTACCAAGACTCAACTGCGATAGAGTTCGAGTAACTTCATCACCAGATAAAGATATTAATCCTTCAATATAAAAAATTCATGATAATTATTATTAAAGTAAATATTAATAATAAAACATTACAATGAAAAATAAAAATACCTGAAGAAAATGAATTGCTAATTGATACTGGTTCACTTATTTCACAGTTATCGGTGTCAGTGTCAGTTCTATCATCATGTACGATATAATCGTCAAGAACAACATCATGATTCTCAATGACAGAAACATTACTACTATCGTCATCATTAAAGTCATAGTCACTTGCATCACTTTCACTCCTACTAATATTACTTGATGTAGATGCAACTGATTTTAAGGATTTCAATTTTTTTCTGCATATTGTGCACAAATAATCAAAACGACTCAACTTCCATGCTTCTTGAAACTTTGTAGAAGCTCGTCTTAATCCCTTACTCATTGAATGATTTTCTAATTTCAATGGATTACAACATCGATTAAATCGAAGTTTAGACTCCATGATAGAATATTTATGATAACGCACTAAATAAAGACACATAAAACCGACTAAACTGAACTTCTAATAGTAAATAATATAGCAGAGGTTATGATATAAGTAAACTGTAGCTGCCGGTGTGTATCCGCCCACTGCGGCGGAGTGGGGACAGAGCAAGGAATAGGAAAACCGGGAAAGGAATCAAAATGGTGGTATGCGAATACTCACGTTTATAGTGCTCTATAGAAATGAGTAGCAGCGCCACCGTGAGAAAAATCATACTGTGAGTTCCTCAATTATTTTTGAAATTAAAAATTTATACTATCATTAGATGAATAAGTAATGTTTTATAACGAATATGATATTGAAATTATAATTTCAACAAATTTGTTAAAAAATTACGCAAATAAATAAATTCTTTTGTTACTATTGTTTATAAATAATCTTAATGATAAATTAATTATTTTTAACGCCTTTTAATAATAAAAATGTGTCAAAATTGATTGAAATGAACTAAAAAAATAATATACAGTAATAAAATTGGTATTCATGATGATTAATAGAGAAAACAAAATTTATCAAATTTTCAAAAATCGAAAAAAAATAGTAATTATAGGAGGCCCACGATCGGACCGGGCTTAAAAGTTGTTAAAATGATAGTAGTTTGTTATACAAAAATTTCGAAAAAATCAAAATATGCACTCAGTTTGAAAAACAAGATTTAAAGTTAAAAACTCACCAAAATTACACAAAAAATTTTTGAAAATTTTTTCGTATTTTTTTTTGAAAAGTGCATAAAAAAACAAAAATTTCAAAAAAAAAACTTTTAATTTGGACCATTTTTGAAGAAATTATGACCAAAACAAAAAAAGACCGGTTTTTTTGAAAATTCGATATCTTTTGAACCTGTGATTCTAAAAATCTTAAAATTTACCCGAAAGGGTCTTTGATGGGTACTAAAAAATATCAAAAAATTAGGCAAATCAAAAAAAAAAATTTTTGAAACTGTCCGACTTGGCGTGGAATGCCCCATATATATCTCCAGTGCACTGAACTGGCACCGTCAAAATATCTCGTGCCACTTAATGCGCACTACGCGAGTGTCGTCGGTCAAATGAACACCTGACACTAGCTAAGTGCGCATTGGCACTGCCAATCGAACACGCTTTTGACACTGAGTGCAGCCAGTGCACTCCAATCGAAAATGATATAACACACCCGGTGAGCTCGGGCGCCGGGAGTCTTCTCCTTACCGGGTTAGGTTAGGTTCTCATGAGGTTCCTCCCGGCTAGGGGTATAAGATTTTCTCCTCCTACATAAAAAAAAGGGCCAGTTTCACCAACGCCAGTTAACTTAATCGGCCGTTAATTGACCAATCGTATTTGCTGTTTAGTAGAATTGACCAATTACGGTTGACAGTTGAGCACGATTAAGCTTAATCGGCGTTGGTGAAACTGGCCCTTACGGTTAACAGTTAATCCCAGTTAGGCTTAATCGGCGTGAAAATGATCAATCGCATTTGCTGCTAAGTAGATTGACAGTCAATTGACGTTAGTGAAACAGATCCCAAGCGAGTCAACCAATCACAGGAGACCGTAAAGCCGGAATCAGACTATGCATTGAAGATTGAGATTGAAGATTGAAAAATTCAAATTTGACCAATCGATACGAAAGAAGAAAATTTCTTTGTCCTTATTGGTCAAATTTCAATCTTCAATCTTCAACCTCAATCTTCAATGCGTAGTCTGATTCCGGCCTAAGGTCACTCACTACGCATTGAAGATTGAAATTGAAGATTGAAATTTTGTCTAATTTCAATCTTACAGGTTGTACCATGGTGGAAAGAATATAAGGTGAAGTATTGTGCATATAATGGCGACATGGAGGGAATGGCTTGAAATTCAACCAATCAGTTTTTTCCCACTTGGAGGCGCAAATTTTTAATGTAGTAGGTTGATTGATAATGAAAATATGATACTTCTAGTGAAAATTAGTTATATTAATTATAAAAACGTTTAGAACAATTAATAACAATAAATAATATGATGTAAAATAATGTACAGAACAGAAATAAACAATGACATAAAATTTATAATAATATCACTGTCTTCTTTATATAAAAATGTTATAATCGTACAAATAATATTAACCTTGTAAATAATATTGCACTTTTGTAAATAAAATTTATTTCAACACCTCAATATCTAACTTCAGCGTTCACTATCGGCACTCAACATACATAATATATATATTTAGTGTAGGCCATATTGAATTTAGCACTTTGGGGAAAATCTGACTGGCTTACTGCTCCTTACTACTTTTGGACGACTGCACATCCACCGGAATATTTCACCTTATATTCTTTCCATGAGTTGTACCACATATTTTTATTTTGAAATTTTCCTACTAATTTTAATTGAAATAAAACAAATTCATAATTAATCAATAATAAAAGTGATTCTATTATTTTTTCTTAAAAACTTGATTTTTTTTACTTATAAATATCTTCATTTTGAGATGTTTAAAATTTTCTGGAGATCACTCAGGAGAGTATTCTTGACAAGATCAAAGTTATACGAGGACGAAGGTGCTTCCCCTAAAAAAATGAATAATTATTAAGTTTAAATAATTCAACTTGGTTTTACCTGACTTTTGTTATTCGATAAAAAAAATTAAATAATATTCATTATTCTTATAGAAAACAATACAGTATATATTTTCGCTTGGATAATTACAAACCTATATGGAATTTCGCTTTGTATTATGAAATGTATGCATAGAAAAGCAGTGTTGCTTTTCCCTAAGGATACAAAAAAACTAGATACACAGATTTGAGTTGAGTAGGAGTCGTTTGACCACATGACGTGTTTAACATTGCGATTGATAAGCCACTCACAGCTTTTATCACAGTGAAAAAGACACTGGTCGTCGAGAGTAGCTGTGTTCAATTGCAATATAATCAAAAAAATTGAACGGAGCGCTCTCGTTCAACATATTTGTTAGCGCATTTCTTTTTTCAATGCCTTCTTCTTTATCTGGAGTAATGGTTTCAATGTCACATTTTGTCATACGATTATTGTCTTTTTCAACAATTACAATATCATCTAAAAAATCTTCATGTAAAATGCAAATATTGTGCAGCACACAACACGCAATAATATATTCGGATATGAGATCCGTCCGTTTCATATACAACTTATCTACGAGACTACGAAAACGTCCCTTTAGATAACCGATGGCTTCTTCAATCATTACATGGGCCGAACATAAACGTTCATTAAAATTAATTTGTGCTCCTGACAAATCATTGTTATCGTAAGGTACCATTACATGTTTTTGCAGAGCATATCCAGCATCACCTATCAGATGACTATCATGTGGAAAAAATTTTTCTGTGTACATGGATGGGATGTCACTTAGCCAGAATACACACATATCGTGCATAGATCCCGGTTGTTCTGCATAGCAGTGGATAAATTTTAAGGTGGAATCACATACAGCCTACAACAGATATTAAAATATTTAAGCATTTATCAATCTCATAAAAGTTTTACCGTAATTCCTTATATTACTCATTACATTAAACGTATATAACTTACTTGCAAATGTATTGAATAATGACCGTTTCGATTTAAGTAATTTTCTGCATGTTCCTTTGGTTTCTGTATACGTATGTGTGTACCATTTATGGCACCAAGTACTTTTGGAAACTTATGTTTGTATTGAACATCCATCCATGTTTGTTGTGCTTCTTCTACACTGGGCCATTTGATAAATTTATCTGCTAAAGAATATATCGCTGCACAGACTTTTCTATGAGCACGCCAAGCAGTTGCTCGTCCAATATTAAATCGATCACAAACAGATCTATTAATGAAAAAAAAAGTGTGTATATATATATATAAAATAAATTTAATATTAAATCTTATTTATTCAATATAATTATTTTTTATATAATTACCTATATGAATCAGGTGTTGCCATGGTCCATAATGTCACTAATAATTGTAAGTTAGGAGAAATTGGACACCGTCCTGATCCAGCTGGCCTTTCTAAGTTGGGTCTTATTAAATTTAATAAGTATGTAAATACTACACGCGATATCCTGTAATTGAAAGTTAATTAATTTTAAATAAAATAACTTTCATATTCAAGTAAGATTGTTGTCATACTTTGCATAATAAAAACAATTAGGCTAATAAATGTTTACTTTTGAAGCATTATACATAAAGCTGCACAATATATTACTATTTATATTCACTTTACCGAAAATGTCTTTTAAACTCCACATCTGAATATTCTTTCACTGTGTCCACATAATTTTTAACATGAAGTTGAACTGCTTGAATTGGTGATAATTCCATTCGTTTATTTTCTTCAAAAACATTGCTTGTGTTTTCGTCCAAATTTTCCAATGCTATTAAAAATATTGACAGCTTAGGCTATATTCTAAAACGTCCTTTCTAAAGAAATTTTTCTCACAATATATAGTGCATGTAACATACTCTCTGCTAAAAAAAAGAATCCAAAAAGAAATTTTAAATAAAACGCAAAATTAAAAATTTTAAGATAAATTTATTTTATCTCCTTCAAAATAATCACCATTTGAGGCTATACACATATGCCATCGATTAACCCATTCTTCGTAGCATTTTCATAGACTTCTAAAGGTACACTGTTAGAAATGCTTTCTTTACATGTAAATGAAATTCATGGTTATGAACGAAATTTTTAAAAAATTAAAATATAATGAATGATTTAACTGAAAATTAAGTTACAGTAGTTAAATGTAATGAGCGTGTACACAAATTAAATTTCATGTGTACACAAATATGCTTTTCAGTTATAAATACATTAAATTTAATGTAATGTCATGAAATTGAATTCAATTGTGTAACTTAAAAGTATATTAAATTTCATGAAATTTTTAACAGTGTATGACTTTTAGCTCCTTCATCGAATTTTCTTTTATGGAATCAATTGAATCAAAACGCTTTCCCCATAGTGGCAATTTGAATCTTGGAAACAAGAAAAAATTGATGCCATGTCTGCCGAATACGATGCATAAGCGATGGTATTTGTTGCATGTTTGGTCAAAAAGTCGTGTACAAGAAACGCTTGCTTTGAAACTAATTGCACTCGAACACGTCTCGAAAACTTCGATTAAAATGTAATGAATCGAACCATTAGAGATGTTAAGGGTTGAAGCAATCTCTCTTTCACTCACACGACGATTTGCAAACACAATTTTCTTCACTTTATCGATGTTTTCGTTGGTATTTGATGACGATGGACGCCCAGAACGCGGCAAGTCTTCTACGATTTCACGGCCATCTTTAAACAATTTATACCACTCATACACTTGTGTTTTCGAGAGAGAAGAGTTCCCGTAGGCTTTTTGTAACATTTTTAATGCGTCGGCACAAGAAATTTCGTTAGCAAAACAAAATTTCAAACACACTCTTTGCTCAACATTTTTTTTCATTATAAAATCCGACGATTATCTAAGGTAGACTGATATAAACAGTTACCATAAAAGAACGGAAAAGATAAATGGTGGGGGTTTCACCAACTTCCGTTCCGTTTCCGTAAATATATTTCTCATCATGAAACCCAACTACAGGTTTGTTCACGTCGCAAGCTCCAACGTGCTCCAACATGCTCCTACCATAGCTCCTACTCACTCCAACATACTTAGGCTGCGTTCCACTTAACGCTCACAACGCTCGTGGAATCATTTTATCCTTATCGTTTATCCAATGTTAAACAAGGACAAATGATGCTCACGAGCGTTGCGAGCGTTAAGTGGAACGCAGCCTTGATAGAGTGAGTAAAAGCTATGATAGAAGCATATTGGAACGTGTTGGAGTATGCGACGCGAACAAACCTTACGAAACAACGTAACGGAATTATTCTGATTGGTTAATCCCGATCATTTGTCTTTTCCGTTCTTTTTCCGTTCCGCTATTTTTCACTCCATGTGACCGCACTCTAGTGGTCCATTTTCCGTTCCTGCACTAGAATTCTCTTTCTTGCTTTCGATATCTATCAGATATATACCAAAAGATAAATATTAGATATATCAGAAAAAAAATTTGACAAATATCAGATATATATATATATATAATATATATATATATAGAAAACAGATATTGGGTGCATTCAGTACCCTGCTCACTGGCCTAGGCCGGTATTCATAGTCAGTTCTTATATTCAAGACCTCTTAAGTTCAGTCTTGAGATGTCACGAACCAATCAGAGGGCTGTATTAGCATCTTAAGACATTACTTAAGACGGTCTTGAAATAAGATTTGACTATGAATACCGGCCCTAGTTTCCGCCGAGGATTCGATCCAGGTCAGAATGCAAGAACCAACCAACTACAGTCGAGCATTCCCCTGTCATTCGACTGTAGTTGGTTCTTGCATTCTGATCCGGTTCGAACCCTCGGTAGAAATTAGGCCACTGAGCGCTAGTAAGCAGTCGTGCTTTTGGATGTACCCAATGTCAAAAACAGTTGTGCCAACTTAGTGAAAAAAAATTTGACATACTATTAACTCACGTCTTTTGAATGAGAAATTCCGGATACTTTTCGAGCAGAGGATATACTATTATTGTATATCAAGTAAAATTTTCCTCAGAAGAGACGTTTTGGAATATAGCCTTAGGCCGACATTCATAGTTGATTCTTATATTTGAGATTGTCTTAAGTACAATCTTAAGATGTCATAAGCCAATCAGAGGGCCATATTAGCATCTTAAGACATTACTTAAGGTCGGAATCAGACTACGCATTGAAGATTCGAGATTAAAATTTGACCAATGAGGGCAAAGGAATTTTAGTTCCTATTGTTTTTATTTGCATACGCATTGAATATTGAGATTGAAGATTGAAAAACAATAGGAGCTAAAATTCCTTTGTCCTCACTGGTTAAATTTTAATCTTCAATCTCAATCTTCAATGCGTAGTCTGATTCCGGCCTAAGACAGTTTTAAAATAAGAACCGACTATGAGTACCGACCTTAATACATTTGACTATCTCATATATCGAGGACCTTCTACAATGGAAATAGTATTATGTAATAAGCCTTAAGCTGTAAGAAATTGATCAATCATAGTCGATTATTCTCCTCACATTTGATTGTAATTGATCAATTTCTTATAACTTACAACTTACTGCACTATATTACTCCCATTATAGATGGCCGACTGATTTATGGTGAATTCGATCACTCGCACTACACTGAATCAGTGGATATTAAAAGCTGCTTTATATAAAATATTTCAATGCAGTGATACAATATAATCAACTTTGACAATCAAATGATACACATACATTTCATTGTTAAATAACGTGACAATATCATTAGTAGATAGTTAATCGTTTAAAATATTTATATATTTTTACTTTGCTAATTTCGCAAAGCAGCTTTTAGTATGCACTGATCTAGTGTAGTGTAAGTGACTGAATTCGCTATTAGTACTGCTGCTAGCAGTATTAAAGTAATTTCGGAATGGCTATAGTAGTAGATTATTACAGGTCTGATAAAGTTGCTTGAAATCCTGAATTTTTTTACACTTAAAAAAGATAAATATATAGTCTAGCATTGAAAAGAAAGAAAACAAATATGCTGTGCAAAAAGTACAAGTAACTTAAACAGAGGGTATATCATGATGATTGCATTATTAGTAAAAAGGAAATATACTCAGGAAAATATTCTGAATTTAGCAAAAAGCTTATTGAAACAATACTGTTAGAATCAAATAGCTTTTCAATAGTTTCTAATCAAGTAGTATTTTTCTATAGCAAAAGACATATATCTTGCAGAATATAAACTAATAATAATATTACACAATGTTAATTTCCTACTCAACAATATGACTGTTGTATATGTTACATATTACATCTGTTGAATAAAAAATTGTAATATTAATATAATGTTACTGTAAGTTTGTATTCTGTGGGATAGATTTATAACTTGTACTATACCTGTCAGTAAATTCTGCTGCAATCGTATTGTTTTTTTATTCCTTTTCAAATCTTGCTTTAGTATAGTAATAATTGATTGCATTCGCTTCTTTTTTGGACCAATTTTCTGATTTTTTAAATAGTGCTTAGATTTATTCATTATTTTCCGTTTGTTTACCAATGTTATCTTAATTGTATCATCAACAGTACTTGTACTGGCTGTTTTTTCTGAAGGTTGAAAACAATATACCTCATCTTCTTCCGAACTCTCGGATTTCTTAGTACGAGACTGTACGACCAATGTAGGCAAATTCATAATCTCTTCAGGAGCTATATTGAATACAGAAATTAGATAAAAAATTATTGAATGGTCTTCTTTTGGTTTCAGAACACTTGTATGTAAACAGATACAAACCAGATCCATTCAAATCAAATATATTTGTAATTATAGGAGTAGTTTCTGGAGGATCTTGAAATATGGAAGGTACAGCAAGATGTTTCAAACGAACATCATGTGCAAACGGCCTAACCATATAATCATTAGTAGTAAAATGTGCGCTACAAATCACGTCAGATTTAGTGGGTTGAAAATCTGCTTCCCCAATAGCTTCGAGCCACTTTTTTAAGTGATCTTTTCGATGAAGAGGAAATCTGAAACATTTGTATTTATAATTTAAATATAACCTTTAAATAATAGAAAACTATCAAGTAATAACTTTATTCGACTTACCTAAACAAGTGAAATCCTTTTAAACGATTATTGTTACAGTTTTTTATTCCACACTGGTTCCGCATTGTTTTTTTCAATCAGATGTCTATTTTTGTCCTCTACCAAACTGCAACTTTTCTCCTTGTTTTCGCAAACACACTACCTTCGATTTTTATGAAATTACGCTCAATGACGCGTTTTTGTATGAAACGGACGAATTTGACAAAAAGCGTCGCTATATCTGAATCGAGATATTGAACTAATTAATCGTTAAAGTTGATAGTTATTCAGGTTTAAAAAATTTGTCACAACTACGAAAAACTGCAATGCGCGAACATGCGCTGTGGTTACGTTTTCATGGGACTGTTCCTTTTTTTTATTTAAATGCATTCCAAAAGTCGAATCTGACTGTGTTCCAAAATTCACTGCCAGCGCTGAAAATGGCTGAAAATCTACAGTCTACGTTACATGTACTATACATTTTCAGCATTGACAGTGAATTTTGGAACACAGCTTGAGAAAGTAGCTTTGCAACTATATTGTAAAATTCTTCAATATGATTGGTTCTTGCTTCTTAGGGCCACTATCACCAAGCTCAGTTAACTTAACTGGCCAGTTAGTCCATCGGAATTGACCAATTGCATTTGTTATTTTGTTTGAAGAATTGACAGATTGGTCAATTCCGATGGATTAATTGGCCCAGTTAAGTTAACTGAGCTTGGTGACAGTGGCCCCTAAACATATAAACCAATCATCTTTTTGCGTAGAAAAAATAGGGATTTTGTATAACTTTGATAGGGATAAATGGTAATATTATTTTAACTACACGCATCGTGTAAAGCTGGGTAGCGATCATGTAACTTTTTCCCTAGCGCGAAAACGTGAAAAGTGAAAATTTGTATGTACAGGGTGTTTCCAAATTAAATCGCAAAACTT